ATTTCGAGATAACTTTAATATACGTCAAAGGCAAATAATGAAACGTCGCTGTTTTTTTAGGTAATTCCAAGGTATATCTGATTTATTGTAAAATGTACCTTTTTATTTTGTGGATTTCTACGGTCTTGAAAAACGGAAAATTATGAGTAATGGTATGAACAGATGCAGTATTCTTTCTCTGAAAAAAACGTATTTAGACTTTTGCTCTAAAATAATTAGGGGAGCTAGTAATTGACTATAAAGAAATTACCATTGAAATCCCTATGCTGCGTCGCGCTGGGCACCACCCTGTATAATTTCAGCCCCAGGAAACATAAACAATACAATATTTTATGGTGTTAAATTTTGACGATAATCGATAATGTACATTAGAATTGTTGCATTTAAGTAGAAATTTGAAATGAGATCAACTCCAGGGGGGGGGGGGCTCCTCCCTGCCCCCCTCTGCTGACGCCCATGTATACGGTCCTTCCCAAGCTCTTTGTAATTTCGGTGATAACCGGCGTCCTCTCTGGGGACGATACAACCAAACCAGCTCCAGCTTGATAGTAATACCAGCTTAGGTCTTCACGTTGTACTGCACTTTCATTCTATCGTTAGCGACCTGCATGCATGCTATGGCGAAATTTGTCATGGATACCACCCAATTTCTGACGCAGGTTTTTCACGTACTCGTTCCTCACAGTGTGTTCCTAGGCGGGTCTTGTACCGCATTTTAAATGATACAGTAACCGGAGTTCCCTACCAAACCACACGGTTCGCCATCAGGAACAGATGCAGATATCATCCTAATCACGCTGGCGACCGGACACAGCTTTTGACAAGCACTTCCCCATTGTCCTATTCATGCGTTCTACCATTCCGTCTGACTGTGGGTATAAAGGAGTGGTTCTGGTCTTCCACACTTCCTTCTTACATCTTGCTTGCAATTCACCCAGTAGAATCATTCCCGCACCTAAAACAGGGTTTTCGTCACTCCTACATGTCCTTCCGATATACCGTTGGGAATCTGTCGTATAGTACTTCAGATTTCATGCTCTCTGCTGCACAGTTGTATTCATGCCACCATCATTTTCTACAACTCTATTTAGATGACCACCTTCTATCCGTAACTGAGGCTTAACCGATTTCTATGGTGGCAGGTATGAGAATAGGAGTGGTAAAGTATATTTTATATTGCTAGATGGTCGGTTGTGCGAGGTGAGGCGGCTGCGAAACTGAGCGTCCGTTTCTTCCAAGAAAATATTGACTGATATGCGGTATGAAATTTGTCGGGTGGGCGAGGTGAAGCGGCGCAGCCGCCGATACCGAGCGTATGTCCAATATAAACAAAACGAGACTTCTCAAAGGCGGTACGATGTTCGCGGATCTGCTAGTTTTTTTAAAAATCAGTTTGATTATAACTTTTTGCGAGAAAGTCAGTGTTGTCACCCAAAAGGACAATCTGATCCAGAATTTAGTATCACGTTTCCTAATGGTTGTTCCAATATGTCTATCAAACGCAGTTATGGGTACATTTGGAATCCTTGAACCACTGGTTCTTTAGCTCTGTAGGTAATGATAATCATATTCATTCGTTATTGACGTTCGTTGATCTCGTAAATCAAGGCTTCTGGTGTTAATACCCCAGTGTCTTTAGATTTCCTTATTTCTGCAATACCATCTTTAAATTAAACTTAACTTTTAAGGTCATTAATAACGTCAAAAGGTCGGTGCATGTGACGCAGTTAGTGTTGGAAGGTGATGCAGCGATAGCCTGTCGGTACAAATAGTACAGGTCCGGTAAGCTCCCAGATTTACGCATTTAGCATGTTTTGTTATACAATATGATCATTCTAGACCAGGCGATTTTGGCAATAATAATAAATTTATTATTAAATTATTATACTGTGAACCTAGGGCGGTAGATTTAAATAAGCCAAAATTCATCCAAAATACTTTCAGAAGAAATTATATCGACTAATATAAGAATAAGTTTCGGCCGAGAATCATCACATTATAGAGTTATTCGGAAAAATTTGAATTTGTGGAAACGAATGGAACTAGAACTGTGGTTTTTAAAGTTACAAGATGTTAAGCAAAAAAGCTATAATATTCTAATCAACAGCAAAGCTGCCATCTTCAAAGAAAAAATGAAAGTTTTATTTGTGTTTCTGCTTTACCTTTGATAAGAACTTGTACTAATTGTAAGGAAGTAAAGGTATATTTTGAGTTTACATGCGATTCTGGGTAGTGCTGCTTTTAAGGCTAAAAGCACGAACGACAACAAAACGAAATGGTTTATTGATATTTCCGATTTTTTGATATTGTTTTGTAATATATGCGAAAGTTAAATGAGATTTCCTTAAAATTCAATTGAGATTTTTTTGAGATTTTCAAACTCAAAGTTAAATTCTTATGAAGCTCTTCTAACATATTATAGAATTCTTCTTCAAATCTTCCTTTAAATTTTCCTAAAATGTTCTTCATGTATTTCTAATATTCCTTGGATATCTTGAATTCTTTTGAAATTGCAACCGAATCTTTTAGAATCCTTTTAGAGTTCTCTTCAAGATTTCCTGATTCCCTTGAGAATTATAATTGAGATTCTCTCCACATTTTTTAAAAATTATCCTTAACTTTTAAGTGTTCTATTGAAATTATCTTGAAATTCCCTCGAAAGTTGCTTTGAACTCCTCTTGTAGTTTTTTTTAAATTTTCTTGATATATCGTAATTTTCTTAAAATTCTCTTAAAATCTTCTTTAAACTCTATAGTTTTGAGCTTCTGACATTTTCTTGAAATTCTTTTGGTGTTTTTTGTTCATAATCTTGAAATTGTATTGAGATCAGTCTATTTGTTTAGATCTGATAGACATTTTAAGCATTACCATATTGAAATGGCGCTAATTGTCCAAAATCTGGTCAAGTCTGATCAGCGTGCGATCATTCGAAGCAGATCGAGCGCTACTTTTTCGATCGAGTATTGATTTTTAGCCGGTGCAAATTTACATATTGTGAACGCGAAGGATGTAATACTCGTACATCGCGTAAATGACGTATATATTATATAGCCGCGGGACTGACGTTATGTACTTTTAATCCCGAAGGTAAAGTTTATGGCCCGGCCGAAGGGAGGGCCATAATTTACCTGAGGGATTAAGACCACTACTTCAGTCGCAAGGTATATACGATATTTTTCGTACTTCCTAAACTGAAACACTAAAATCTGTATGGAGTTAGAGAACGCGTTCTTTAAAAAAATCGCTGCTTAACAAGTTACCATAGGAACGTTGCGTTGGCGTTGGTACGACAATCCCTATGCTATGGTAACAAAAATAATTTGGAAACTGTCATTGCTAGTGTCATAATTTTGGTGGTAGGGTGTATTTGATATTGATAAAAAGCAGCCAAAGTAGGTAAAGAATTGATACCACCGAAATCCAAAAAACTGTATGAGCAGCAGTACAATGCGTTTAAGAAGTAGTGCCGCATACAAAATGTGAAACAACGTACTGAAATTGCCTTGTTAGTAATTTCATCCTTCCGGGATTTTCGTCCAAATTTAATCCCGGCGGGACAAAAAGTGACACTTCAGTACTTGTCATAACGGAGTGAAGTTATCACTTTAGTCTCGGAAGTACGAAAAAATCAGTTTTCTTTCTATACAACATCAATTTTGTGATGTAGATACCTAGTAAATGCAAATTAGTTTCCTAGCTCGAGCTAGGTAGCTATTGCGACTGGGCATATTAAAATTTCATCAAATGCACATGTATAAACATTCATCATTTGAAGTAGCCAATTTTCCAAGGTGACGGTTCGATGGCTTTTCTTTACATTTTCGATATGTAGGTATATTAGGCATACGGAAATGAAAAAAAAATCTTGGGGCGCTGCAAAACGGCATCGAATTACATTTCGTGTTTGTTTGAGTATAAGGTATAAAACAAAGAACGAAATTCTGAGTAGAATGAAAATAAATACAGCTAGAGTTATATACGATACTTTGAAGCAAGCATTTTTGCTTAGAAAAGATATCTGTTTCAGGGGATGATTTATTGGGTTTTAACTGCACCTCCATAAGTTTTGAATGTCACTAAATTAATTCATAAACAGTGTCCCATTTATCTTCAGACAGTCGATTAGTGCGGAGCGGGGATACCATAAAATATTCTTTATATTTATTGAATATTCTTATTCTACATAGGAAAATATTCAACTTTCGTGGGAAGTTTTTTCCCTACACTTACCATTTCTTGAAGACACCACCATCACCATCCATATAAATACTGTTCAAATGGAACCAGGTTCATAACTCCTTCTTTTCCTGTTGTGAAATCTTTCGATCTCAGGAGTTGTGTTTCTACAGGTTTTGAATTACTGATCTATCGTGTTGCCTCTCAAATTTTATGTGTAGGGGTTGTGTGGAACGTTTTTTGCTAAACTGATGAAAGCAATAATATAGGCGTTTTTCCTCAACCCTTTGTGATATAGTGCAAACCATTCTAAGGTATAGGCGAGGCTCATGTTAATTACCCTACAGTTTTTGCATTATTTTATATCTCTGTTATTGTAGATGTGTATTATTACTTGCTTATACCATTTCTTTCATCATTTCTGCTGTTATTGTATGATGGCCCTGAGTTTAAGAAATAAAAAGAAGTCGCATGTTTAATCAATTTCACAATGCGATTTATAGAACTGCAAAACAGTAAAAGTATGCCATTTGTCGGAGACTGATACATGTCTTAAGTTTTGATTTCATCCCAACTTAAGACTTTTAATTGTCCCTGTATTTAAGATTATTAACAAATAACATGTTAGAATCTCAAGATGTTTCAAATTGGTGTAGGTAAAAATGAGTTTTGTTTCGGAAGTGCAAATACTGATAACTCCGAATTACAATAAACGACACTACAGATAATCTATTATAATTGTTATAGAAAATGATCACAGTTTACAAAGTTTTTCTGAACTTATTCGACTCATCAACTTCACATTATACACGCACACATCATAATACAAGTGACAATTTTCGTTTATTAATCCATTATATTAACTTGTGGTATATAAATTCTTTAATCTAATAAGACAATTTTATAATATAATAAAACTTTTATTTAAGTATTGTATATCTTTTAAGCCACCATTAAACTAGTGTATCTTTTAATTATATCTTGCCCAGTAGAAAGTATTATTCTAAATTATTATTATTACATAAGCATATATTATTGCGATAAGACCTCTTGATATTCTATTTTACATTAAAAAAAATTCTACATACAAAATTGCAAAATATATTTTTACAAATTGCTGGCAAATGAATTTACAATCGATATCGTTATTTTGGCACTGGTAATTAAATTAATTTGAACTAATCAAGCAACTATGGTCGTTTTTAAACCGATAATTATTAAAAGCGTCATTTATTTCTGTATTAGTATAATGTATAAAATATATATGTCTTGATTTCACAATGTGTCCATTCTGAATTTCTAACTTTAGTGCTATAATAATAAAGTACAAGTCAGTGGCGGCTTGTGCAAAAACGCCAACCGAATTACGGATTACACAATTATTTTCTTCCCATTACACAGTTGGGATACAGTATGCACCAGCCGCTCCCGATTAATTAATAATACTAATGATAATAATAATAAAGATGAAGCTATTACGAATGAAACAAACACACACGAAAATTTCACCCTGATATTGCACTACAAAGCAACTCTTTACTAAACGAAAGTAGGAATGAATATTTAGGGAAAAATTTGTCACCTAAGTACAAAAAGCAAGAAAACCGGAATAGATCGGAACTTCGATTAAACTCAATGACTGCAAAATCTTATTGTAATTTAATGTCTATACTTTTAGTCGAGGTCATCTAACTATAGTGTTGAGCTTGAAAGTTGGCTATACTATAGGTGCCTGAAAAGGAGAATGTTAGTGAGTAATTCGCTCGGTGCTAATGTGAAAAGTAACAAACAATTATTATTAGTCACAGATTCTTAAGGTTTCGACAGTGTACATCGTTACAAAATGCACAGATTTACTATAATTTGTTATTCATTTGTTTGTGGATAACAAAATTTGACTGATAAGTTGTAATCAGTGACTAAATAATATTGTTAATGTTGTATGTTATCTCTTACCTCTATAGAAGGTCCATTACTTGAAATATTATTTTGTTCCTAGACAATAAACCAGATTAAAATGGCAATTAAATACAGGACAAAAAACTCACCTTCATTATTAAATCATTTGACTTGTCTTCACGTTTGTGTGGAAGATTTTTTCTTTGTTCAATGACTATTTGTTCTTTTAAAGAGTTTAATTCCTACAATTCCAAGTTTTAAACAAACAAAAATAATCGGGACAAAGCTCACCTCCGAAAGTTGATCTACAACAACCTTTTCTACCATTGTTGCCGCTTGACTTTTAAGTGTCTCAAAGTCCTTCAGCACCTTTCCTTTCTCCTGTTGTTCTGATCGAATTCGCAACTCTAACTGTTCCACTTTAGTCTGTAACTAATTAAATGGTATTAGATTATAAACCGAGATTTAAGTAATGCCAAACGGGACAACATCGCAAGCGTATTTACTTGTAAGTGTATATACCTCATCAATTATTACAGGAAGTGATTTCTCAATGCATTGAAAGGCAAAATGAACGCCTTCTGGAAAATGAGCTTCCCTTGCATTAACAATTATCTGTACGAACAAAATGTATTTTAATTTGTTGAATAAGAATTAGATTTTGTTTGGATACAAACCTCTGTCGAATGCCTCTGTTTTAGGACTTCAATTTCAGACTCCTTACTTCTCAATTCGTTGCGCCAATGAATTTCTTCTTGTTCTATGTGGTTTTCTAGTTTCTTTAGAATGCCTTCCTGAAATAACACAACAATTTGATTGACGACAAAATTAATTGATAGGTGAAGAGTTTTGAAAATGTACGAAGGGAAGAAGCAATTAGAGAAATTAAGGTATGGACTGGGAAAACTAGAGAAAAAACCTCTAGAACATAAAATATAGGATAACGTACCTGCCGAAAGTCATCAACACCAATTATCCACCCGGTGAACATCAATGAACACCACCTTTTGTGGGATGCAACTAATTAGAAGGAATTAAAAGGTCCCCTGCAAGGGTTAATATGTTGGTGGATTAAAAAGGCGCTTGAGAATTTTTTTGCTATAGTCGTCCAGGAAAAACAACTTCCCAGACTGTACCGGGTGACCTAATAAGACTGTTCCTCGGCCATATCTCGGGAACCGTTCGACATATGACTTGGGGGTAAAAAAATTATCGGGTAAATCGGTTATGAAGAATCGCTAAAAAATAGTTTCAAGTTCTAAAAATGACCACCAGAGGGCGTAACTGCCACCTGCCACCTTAAATTTTAAAATTGCATTTTCTTTAATTTCGCATAATTAACTAAACATTCTTTTTTCACATTTTTAAAGAAAACCATCTATCATTTTCGTAAAAACAAAAACTCAGTTATTTCAAAAACAAAGATGGCGTGGGGCGTTTGGAAAAGGACCCTACACTTTTAGGTAGGCCTTGGAAAATTAAACAAATGAAACACGATGCATTATAAAATAATAACAGCCGTAATTTGTAAATTATTCTGCTGTGTTTACATTCAGAAAGTGCAGTTTTTTGAATTTGTAATCTTTTCTAAAATGCTGATTTCTAACCAAGAAGCATTTAATATGCTGGCGGCGATGGTTCGTAGTTGATTCGGATAACGCAAATAGATGTAGGCAGCGATGGTCGCATTTTGAAAATACTCAAAATATATCGTTTTTAGTTTTACGAAAATGATAGATAAACTGGTTCTCTTTAAAAATGTGAGTTTATTATGCGAAATTTAATGAAAACAGTCTTATTGGGTCACCTGGTACAATATGGATCTTTGCATATTGAGGAAATCTGTTGGTCCTGTCCAAAAATATACACTTCATAGACTTCACCGAGTCATAAGAAAATTGAAGGTAAACTACATATTTTCCGGAAAAATGTTGCAACCCGAGTATATTCAGTTTGACTTTTGTGAAGATTCCACTAACCCGAGTTATGCTGGCCGCTTTATAGTTTCACATTACTTGCCCGAATTGAGTCGTCTACAGTAACGTCTTTATGCATATGCCAGAGTTGACTTGAATACCCTCTTTAATACATCTACAAGTGACGTGTTCCTGTTGAACGAGTCAGTCATTTTTCATAAAAAATCACCAAGAATATATCAACATAAGCTCGCGCTCGTCTCGCTCAAAATTGTCGCGCAGGCGCAAATTTAATGTAAAAATCAGTTTTTCCTATAAACGATTTTGTCATACCAAATACAGCAGTTTGAATTTGTTTAACAGACACCTATTATGATCGGACCACCTTCTTTGCACATCCATTCACATTTTGGGGTAGCAATATTGGAAAATGTTTGCAAACGTGGAAACGCCATTAATTCCATCCTACTATGCGTCATGGTTGGCTCAGAAAAATTGAAGAAACAAATTATGGGACTTTTGGGGGCAGAGCTTTTAGACAAAACATTGTGGATCTCCAATTTATCGACAAAACAATATGGCTATGAGATTATTGTGTGAAAGTGTAGTCAGGTAAAATATATACCTACCGTATCATCAATAATAGTCTTATAGTGTTTAATTTGTGCTTGTAACTTCGTTATCTCGCCTTGATTATCTTGCGTTTTCGAATTTTCTAGGTCACTAATATATTGTTTAATTGTCTTTTCTGCACTTTCATTCCACTTATCACACGTTAAATCGTTCGCGAACGAAAGGTCCGGGAACAGTCTCTCCATGAATTTCCTATGTAAATCTTGCTCCTCCGTTCTCACCTTCGACACGATTTCCTATACACAAATTGAAACATAAAAAACTGAATGCGAGAGTGAATGGATAGGTGGAAAGTGATGAAGAAGAGCTATGAAGCCTTCATAAGCAGACTTACGTCGATTTGAATAGTTGGTGCAACTGCCTTAGTTTCCGCCACTTTTAAAGCTTCCATCACTTTCCAATTTTTTTGACGCAATTCCTAAATTGTGTTTTAGACCAAACGCCAAAAATTGTAAAAACTTACATTATTTTTAACTTTCTGCTCGTCCAGTTCCTTTTGTAGTCGAAATACCACATTCTTCGACTCATCAAGGTCTGTCACATACTTTTTCTCAACAAACTGAAGTTCCAATTTCGCCGACGATAGCTCATTATGCAAATTGAGCAGTTCTTCTTTGTGATGTTGATTTTCTTGCGCCAAACCGTTCGCCTTAATCTGTTGTAATTCCGCTTTCTCATCTTGAACGTCGTGCAGTTCCACTTTGACCTTCAAAACGATTACATTTAGTGTGAACAGGAAGTGAATCCAAACAAACTTACCTGAGATAGCGCATGGTCCAATTCGTCCTTTTGCTTTTGTAAGTTCCGAATTTCCTCCAAAGCTTGTCCCTTTCCGTGTTCCAAGCGCCGTACTTCTTCCGCGTTCTGTTGGCAAGCAGTTTTCAGTTGTCCGATTTCGACTTTAAGTTCGTTCTCATTCCGAATAGCTATTCCTAACCGATGTTCCAGGTCTCGACGTAATTCCTACAATCAGAGTTTAGGACATGCTCTAGATTTCACAGAATGGATTACTTCAAATTGTCTGGTGTAATTTTCTTTTTCATCGAGCTCACCCTTGTACAAATTCACTTGATGTTGTAGTTGCACAATGATGCCTTGTTGGTGATCTTTTGTAGCCATATTTTGCTCAGTCAGTGAGTGTAATTCCATTGTCAGCTGATTATTGCGACCCTGTAGATCTTGAATGGTGGCTTCGGCCTGTGGAAAAAAACACTCGAAGACAATCGACATCTAATGTACTAACCTCTTGCGCTTGCGCTATATGTATTTCTATCTGTTGCCTTTGTAACTGAAGAGCATTGTTTTCTTCGTGTAACTTATGCATGGCGAGAGATTCTTCGTTCATTTGCGCCTGTATTTGTTGGAGCTTTTGATTCTGACTGTGAATTCGACCGTTAACTGCTTGCAATTCGAGATGTTTCGCCTGTAGTGCCTCTTCTAAGCCTCGAACTCTTTGCTGAAGTTGCATTTTTTCGGCCGCCTGCTCCGCGCGTACCTCACGCAATTTTGCTTGTACGCCTTGTAGTGCCTCTTGCTCTTCTCCCAGCGCCTTTTCTTTTTCTGCCAGTTGTTTCTTTAGCTTTTGAACGGGATCGGCTTTCCCCTATTAGAAAAGTTAATGCAATGGTTATACATATAAACACCTGCACATAAATTAACTGAAACAAAAGGTGTACCTCACTCCACTGATCCACAACTGCAGGGGCCTCATGCTGCTTGTTTAGTAAGAGATCTATAAGTATTTGAACTTCAGATCGAGACAGTTCAGCTTTACGCACCGCATTCAGTAGAAGAGGTAAATTGATGTCTCCATCTTTGGCCGCTAAAAATAGGCGGTTTTGAAGCAAAGTTAATAGCGAGAGTAATGCGTTTACCGATTTCTTGCAATACATTAAAGTCAGATTTCTTCTTTTTCTTTTCTTTGCTGCCGCTGGTGACACTTTCACTAGATGTTGACGGAACAACGGCGACCTCTACAGCTGGTACATCTTTAGCCACGACTTGCTGCGCAGGCGGTACCTTTTCGGGCAATTTCTTTGATTTTTGAATTTCCGGACTGGAATTGATTACTTTTTCTTTTGTTACTTTTTCTCTCACACTCTCCTGCACTTTTCCTTTTGCTTCGGTAGAATTTTGTTTCGGTTTTCCTGCTTTAGTTTCTTGTAATCCGTTCTGCTTAGACTTACTAGGCTTTTCCTTGTTAGATTCAGTCTTAGCAGAAACATCTTCTTTCTAATTCAATTCAAACACAAATAAAAATGCAAAATAGGTGGTAACGTATACGTTAGGTAAATTAGGAAATAAGCATATACATTTGCAATTGTTTAGTTATTCTTATTTGTAGCTAAAGATTGCAATTAAATTAAAAGAACAGGAATACAGGTACGTTTCCTGGTTGCACGCCGAAATAAGCAGTATCAATTGCTTACCACACATTTTTAAAAGATAGGTACCACAAATAGCCTTCAGTTGCCCATTATTCTGTTATCAAAGAGTGAATTTTTTACAATTTTTGTTTATTTACCTCAAAAAAATTTGTAGTAAATATGGGCCCTTTTCATAAATGACATGGGAATTCCCCTGAGAATTCGATATACAGATTTATTAATTTCAGTTGGTTTGTCGTTTGCCTGTACTCCAGACATGTAAGACAAACATTTAATTGAAATATCAATTTTGCAGCCTTTTATTTAAGAGTGGTAAAATATACACGTAGGAACATTTTGGAGTCGGGGAACCGCTTTTCAAGTAAAAAACTGGATCAAATAAACTTACATTAAACTCATTGTGTGTACGATAAATAAAAATGTTGTATACAACGACATACGACAGGGAATTTAAAGTTAATAAAAAAGGTGCATATTGCTCGCGACCCGCAAAGTACAGCCGGTTTGCGATTCATGCCAACTTTTCTTCCACCAAATTTTGCATTCATCACAATAATAAAAGTCAACTACCTATATTTCCAAAGGAACCGCCAAGGAGATTATATCAATTATTACTAGAAGAGAATATTACCCACGCCAATAACCGTAAGTTATTTTAATTTTTTTTTTTTGTATGAAATTGTGGTCTGTTACTTTTAGTAATTTGTATATTAAATTTATTTGAGGTAATTTTAATATACCTAAAGGAATCGACCTGTGAGAATTACTGGCTCATGAAACAAATTTTGTATTGTGTTTGTTGTTAAAGGGCGGATCCAAACAAAGGATGTGTGTTATTTTGCTTTTGGAAAATAAACAATAAGCAGCTGATATGTTTTCCTTCTGTGAATAATTAATCACTTAACAATTAAAAAAGTGTCTCCATTAACAGATATTTTTTTAACATAATTCTTCTACTTCATCCACCTTATATGATATGTTAAAACCTATTTAAAAATCACAACGTTTTACAAGGTCTGAGAGGGATAGATGGAGTTCATGTAGATATTAGCAGTATGGCAGAAGCGAGACGATAAATAGTAGGAACAAAGCACAAGATTAATGAACAATCATCTCAAAATTAACAGGTGGATGAATTCAAGTACCTGGGCTGGGAATATCACTAAACACGGACGAAAATCTGGAATCGAAAATCAATGAAAATATACAAAGACTTAAAGACAGGTCTTAAGGGTAACAGAAGATTTCCAGATGAAGAGTATTGATAGAAACAAGATCCAAAGGAATACAAATTTTGTATATGTTTTGTAGATTTCATGGAAATAAGAATTGTTGCAATAATAAACACATCAAATTGTGTAAAATTTTGAAGAGAAAATTAAACAATTTTCTTGCTTTGTTAGAAAAAATTTACGAGTAACCCGTAATTATACTAAAGAAACCTGTATTTACATTTTATAAATCATCCCATTGACTAAAATTCACCATTGTGCACTAAATTACATATTAACTATTGTTAAACAAACTTTCCCATAGTTACACATTCAAAGAGTGTCCATAACCTTTATAGTAAAAACGGAAGGTCACTGGACGTGAAAATACAAGTAATAAAAAATATTTGTTTTCAAAACAATCACAAACAGCTTTTGTTGAAGTGCACACATAAAGTCCCCAGATAAGTCAATCTAATTTGCTTATGGAAAATCTCTAATATCCGTGGAATCAGTATACAACACAGCATGTTCCAACGATGACAATGCTTCGTTGAATGGAATTTGTCTTTATGTGCACACAACTTTCTGGAATTGTTATGTAATAGTGTGACTAATTTTATTGCGGTCTTATGACGGCTTTGAAATGAATGGAATTTATTTACACAATTGATACACTTAAAAATCTTAAGAATGGAAAACGCCCATACCAAATGCTTCTCAACAAAAAAAGTTATTGCAGAAAAATCCTAAAGGTTTTCCATAATCATACAATTGATATTGTTATATTGACAACAGTTTCCCATGTCTCCCCAATTTTGTTGTTTAATTTATATCAAGATAGCGCGCAATTTAAATCAACAATAAATTTCGTCACCTTGGCAATGAAATTAATTAATCTGAAGTGACGACTATTTAATAATACAATGCAGTAATATCTTGTGACAAATAGACCGTATAAACATTAATTGATTAGAAAATTAACTAACGCAATAGTGTGGAAGCTACGACTTACTTAATAGAGCGCCAAAAATACATGCGAATTTTTTCAAGGATTGAAATGAGGAATGGTAAACGTTTATTGATAATAGTAAACTGTAAACTGATTATACACCGTGTCCAAGATAAGGATGTCTATCATGGGGATCTCAGAAACCATAAAAGTTATGATTGATACAAAGATGGTCAAATTAAGAGAAAAGTAAAGAAAAGCGGAAAATTCTGATTGGTTCCGAAGATATGTCAGAAAAACCGAAATTTATGATTTGCGTTCATTTTTTTCTGATATTTGAGCAGATACAAAAAAAATAAAAAACATTTTCTCATTAGCACTTTTTGGGCTCTACAAGACACCATTGAAAGATTTTCAATACAAAGTTTCATTTCGGAGAAACCATCATCAAAGGACCCACAAAAAAACAAAAGTTAGAAACTGTTGGTTTCAACAGGATGGTGCACCCGCGCACAACGTGTTAATCGTACGAGACTACCTATCGGACAAATTTCCTGGAAAATGAAAAATCAGTTTTTTGCAATTGCACAAATTCCAGAAAAAAATTAGGGCAAAATTAAGTACTTAAGCATAGTTAATTCACAATACGTTCAAATATTTAAAATGTGCAGTGTGATTTTGTTACACATCATTACCATGTCGTGAATCTGCATCTCTTAACTTACAAAACCTCCAAGGATTTAAAATGTCACCAACGTTCGTCAGGTCTGCTATTTGTATATAAATAAAAATGAATGTTTAATTTTGGATTCATGAAATATAGAGACACAGGCTAGAAAGAAGGCGAGTACCATTTACTATCGGGAAGACTTGTAGAAGATGATGTAAACTTTTATAAGCACAGAAGAATGACTAAAGTAATTAATGTTTCTATCTTTGTGTTGTTAGGAGCGAGCGCAGGCGCTTTGGATCGAAACGCCGTGTTGCTGCTTTTCAGCCCTTAGTGAGAACTGCTGCATTTGAAACCATGAGAACTTTTGGAAGCAACATACTGCAGCGGCGCGGCGCCTCGCGACGGTTTAAACGGTTGGAAATATACCACCATTATTGATGCATTTAAGAATTTGTTCGTATGATGCTTCCTATTCATTCACGCCAACAACTTTTTATATTCATTATAGTAGGTTTTTCCATTTGGATTTTGCAGGTACGAACTTTTCTTCTGCTTCCGCAACAAGCCGCAAAATGGACGGTGATTTTTATCACAGTAATCTCCATGGCAATCATAGAATGACGAATAAGCAGCCCATTTAATTAGAAATGTAAACGCGATTATAACAGAACAAACACGCTATGGCAAGTTTTTCTCGATTTTAGACAAATTGAGAGAAAGACACCTTGCAATAGCGATCAGGGCAGGGCTTAGTACGTCCGTAAATTAATTTTAAAAAACCCAGACAATATCAAATAAATAAATGAATTTGGCTCCTTTCACTTTTTGATTATTTATTACATGAAAACACCTACTCAAATATCCTCTAAAAATGGCTACAGGGAAATTTACTTTTATATCAGCGCGAAAAATACTCGACGGTTAAAACTGAAGTCTTCTCTCTTGAGCTTCGACTTAATTTTTCTTCGGCGACTTCAACTGAATAATTTCACGAACTAAAAAACCAATGAAATCAAACTGATTCACCTTAACTCAAAATTCCGCCAATCAGCAGAAAACCAAACACGTAGCACCACAACCACCTATCAGCAGGGTCGTCATGTAATTCTAGTTATAAGTCGCGACTTTCTGGCGCTTCCAACTTTCACACGCATTTCACTGCCCAGAGCAGCCCTCAGGAACCATTCGCCCAAAAAATACAACAAAATTTTTAAGAAACCTGCCCAATGATGGCACTACTTTATATTTTGCATAACCCATTTCCAAAAAACGCGCAATTCCATGATAATTTAACTCCCAATCTAAATTGAAGGAACAGGAAATAATGACTAAAAGAAGAAACACAACAAGACTCTTACTGTTTCTTAAACAAGTATATGGTAAGTCTTTCAAAGAAAGTGGAATGGCGTTATAGTCCTTTGTAATATTGTAACAAGGATCTTTTATAAAGTTCAGTATGATTAGCCGGAAGTGTCAACGTATGATGCAAGTATCTAAAATCGCGAGCGTGTACAGCTGTTCGGAAAAGCAATGCTAGAGTTCCTTCACAACACTGTTCAAAACCTGGAGAGTAGCTCTCGGGCTCACCCCCCAGTACTACCATGTGTAAGACTAAATCGTGTAAAAAATTGTCACAAATTGGGAAAGAAACATGGTTGGTAGAAATCTTGTCAACCCACAAAGACCAAAACCGGCGCTAAAGTTGCGACTTTTGTTTAGTCGCCCTCTACGACACGCAGTGCCCTCTGTGATAGGATTATTCTTTCCCGCCTCTCACAATTCTTAAATATACAAGTCAAATACCTCTTAAGATATGCAACCGATCTTACCTACTTTCATTTCCAAATGTTTTTCAATAAATGTCAATATCTGATTATTAATAAAATGTATACAAAAAAAGAAAAAAGGGAAATGATACAGATGTATTTCAATAATTACATGATTTATTTGCTGCATGAAAAAATTTCATGTTGATGGTTGAATTGTTAATGAACATGACACCACAAAAGAACTTGTTGTGTTTTAAGAATTGTAGAAATTAAGTTAAATATTTTAGCATACATAGAAGAAGCCTATAGAGATAATAATAATAACATTATTGAAGCAACGCAACAAGAGATATATAATTAAGTATAGTATGTTGTTCAACTAAGAAGCGTGAAGCATTTTTGCACGTCCTTGGCAGATACACTAACTTATCTGGCACTAATAATATACATACAATCAATGCAGATCACAATGTTAGAAGAGAAAACAGGTATTGAAATATTTTTGATTTATAATTTGCTCGTGTTGCAGAAGAGTACCTACATGTAAGACATAGACGAAAGTTGGTGTAATGAAAGGAAGTAAAATATGCTAAACAAATCGGCCGAGTACATATCCAAAAGAACTATACTTCCTTTTGTTTACACTGCTGTCCAATTTGTGTAAGGTGGGTTGCATAACTGTGAGGTATATCAATGCATTAACTTGTATATTTAAGAATTGAACTCTCAGATTTGTATGTTGTTTTTGTTAAAACCCTGAATGTAAGTACCATTACAATTTGAAAACAGATGTGCGTGTTCAACGCGTTCAGACCTTCCCTCTTCCCTTTATGCATACCCGTTTTCCAAACTACTTTATATCTCTGTTACTACTGATCCAATCAGGTAGAATATGGTACAGTTGAATGCGTCTCGCATTTGGCCCTTTAACCACTCCCATTCCATTTTGCTATGTGTAACATACGTGATCGATTTGCAGATATTGAAAAGACCCACTTTTAAAATTTTAGCAAAAATGTTTCATAAATAAGAACGTTATTTATGCACATGCGGGCTATACACTTAACATTTATGTTTAATATAATCAGTTTTTAGGCATAGAGCTGCTACTGAAATTTCATAGGGATTACTCCTCAAATCTCAAATCCTTCCTAATGCAAGCCTCGACACTATAATGAAACCAAATCTAGTAGCGATATTAGCGCATTTTTTAATTTTTGTGGAAACGCGTTAATAATAGAAGTAAAAAAGAAAGTGCAATCGAGTAAATGGTGATGGCACTACTGGTACCATCTAAGATGGGATTGGCTTCCTGCTGATTAGATAAGTTCACAACTAAACATCAATTTATTTCATCAGATTTTGCTCAATAGGCTGGAATGTCGAACAACTTCTTTTTTTGTGTAGGTTTTCTTTAATTGCTTTGAATTATGAAAGTTTACAATTGTTCTGTAATTGTATGTAATATTGCCATTCAGTGATTGAGGCAATTTTCTTTATGAAAAAGAGCGTTTGTCTAACTTCCTGCTTAATAATTTACACACATAAGAATATATGACAAGTATGGTCGAATGTCCATAAATAAATAAAAAAACAACAAAAACTGCACAGAAATTAGAAAGGTATGCAGCAAATTAGAAAAGAGAACATTGATGGCTGAGTAATGTAGTCACTTTTGCACTGCCAAACACAGACATTCTGACCAGATATTATTGAATTGAATTCTTATTAATGCTTAGTTTTTGCTTACGAATTAGATTATAATGGTCGTTTTATAAACAAACCTTTAGTAATAAAGTCCTTGATCTCCGAACACATTCAAAACAATTATTTACATTATTTAGATTATTACCCTGATTACAATTGCAAATGTTGACAGTAGATACTTGGATAGAAGAAACAATTCATTAATGTAGACTGTAGAATTACTTAATTACAAAAGAATTCAAAAAGGAATAAAGTAGATGGCGCTTGTTCAAGTTATACAATTTGTATTTATTCCAATTTGAATTCAAAATTCAGTTAATAACAACAAAAAGAAAACAGCAAGCACAGATACATGCAAAATGTTAGTACGACTTACACTTTGTATATGCAAGTGCAACAATTCGAGGTCATCTTTAGGATGAAGCTGTTCAAAATGGTTTGAAGGGAGCACATCTACAATTGGTATAACTGGTATATTTTCGACTGATTTATGGATCAGTATCGGACGAACTTTCTCTTTTTTCCCTCGCTTCTGTAAAGCAAGCAATTTTACAGCGATAGATCGTTTCGAACTACACACATGCTTATCGCAAAAGAAAATTAAGCCTCCACCTAGCATGCTGTTATTTACCGTTGTCGAACAAACCGAGTTATGCTTACTTTACTTGCAGTCTGTTCAGGGAGAGCCACTTCTTCAACTGCAGGTTCCTTAAACTCTACATGGAGCTTTTGGTGCGTGTTCGCAGTAGAAGATGAAGAAGCAGTTTTGTCATCCGACTCTTCTGCGACATCCAAATCGACAGGAACATTTGGTTGTTTTTCTTTGGGCTACTCGAGTATTATTAACTAAGAAAATTGCCGAAATTTAAATCTTACCTTTTTAGTAGTTTTCTTAACTTTTTTTTCTTTCGATTTTGGTCGATGCTGAATTCCTAAAAGTGCATTTGTTTGCTGCCTCTGTTCGGCTAAGGCCTCTTCGTAACTTTTCTCTTTGATACCAAACACTGATATGAGGAGTAATATTATTGCGGACACTGCGAAGACACCCACTCCAATTAATGCAGTTTGAATATCCATGGCTAGAACGGGGAGTTGAATGTAACCACATCATCAATTTTTCAGTCCTTGCATTAAACAGGGCAATAACATGCTCAGGAGTTTTCCATGAAAAATGCGCATGCAAAACAGGTACAAAGGTTTTGTTTTGGATTGCAATTGAGGGAGCAACTGGGGTGGCACATTTTCATACAAAGTAATTAAACAATTTGAAAAATTCAAACAAAATCGGAGTTGAAGCAGTCGAGTCAAGGCCACGTAGCAAATCATGGAAGGCGGTGTGTAATGTAAAATTGCCATTAGCACCGGTCGTCGACATTTCTATTGAATTTTCGATAGCGATTGATGTTATTCGCGATTACAAGTAAGGAACGATACGTACCTTAACAAATAATTCCAATATTTAAAACAATTCACGATCACAAAAACACGAGTTACCACTAAATCAACAGCCTACTTAAAACTGATAACAAGGAGAGGAAGGAAAGTGTGCAATGAATGGAACTGGAATGGGAATGCAAGGTTGATTCGCAAAAGCGCACGCGCCTCTAACCAAAAATTCGGCTGATTTTTTTATCTACCACATTCCTAATCGCTCAATATTTTTTTATCTTTAGTAAATTGAAGCAAAAATAATCGCGGTTTCAATTCTAATTGCCTTTTTAAATCTACGCAATTTGGGTTTTAAAAAGTGCGCTCATAATATAGGTAGGTACATAATCCAGCGGCGTAACAGAGGGTGAAATGGAGAGTGGCAGAATGCAGAGAGAATATTATAGTACGTCCCTCTGTCTGTCTGAAAACATTCTTCAAGTATCTAGTCCTACGGTCTCTAAAAGTGGCGAGTGTTGAATAGGTACACTGTCTTAAGACCTCCACTCCAAATTCTCGAAAATGAACATGAGCACACATTGAGTTTTAAAATATTTGCTCTCAAAAAATTACTCAAAAATTTCATGGTAAAAAGTATTTTATTTCAAATTCAGCTGATGACTAATAAGGTACCTAATCATTTTCAAAAACACTTAGCAACGTTTTCAAAAGCATTTCGATTTCAAATAATGTTAAGTATTGGCATTGTTTAAATTATTTAAACAATGGTATTGGCATAGAGGAAATACAATCCTCTATAGTAGGGTTCTCTAACTCTACCAACTAGGACAGGAATCATGAAAACCCCGGATTTAGGGATTATAAACCCGGACATATCAACTGAATTTGATAAAAAATATTTTCTAAAGAAATAAAACAACCAATTAATTTTTTTAAATAAAACAAGGCGTACTCTATCACGAAACAAAATCTTCTTTAACTGTTAGGAATCAACAACGGCTTATCTACATTTTTAAATTCTTTAAATGAAGTGTTGACGTCACGCCGGAAACCGAGAATTAATATCGGCGGGAGGAAAGAAGGTGAAATGACGCAACGCACGCATTCAAGACTCTTAAAGCGGCGTAGACGTTTATTTTTATTTGTATTTTCTATATGTATAATGTGTTATCTCGAATAAACGACTTTTCTACATCTATATCGATAACAAAATCAGAAGTGCGATAAGACCTACACAGTGATTGAAACGAAATCAATGGAACGAACGAGTACGGGGTCCAATATGGCGAGGCGACGCATTCACACGACTAATGGGTCAAATGATGGAACGGTTAACTTCTGCAACGATGCCACCACCAACGACACCAATTGCAACGACTTATCATGTGATGCCGGACTTGACGAAAGGCGTAGGTACGTACAACGGCGAAAAGTACGGAACTGTCGCCAAAGAATGGCTCCATGGTATAAAGGCAAGCGGATCGATGCATCGGTGGTCCGACGAAGTTAAGTTGGAAACCGCGAGGATCCATCTACGAGGAGCGGCAAAGGCATGGCACGACGCGCGAGACGGTCAGCTGCAAACGTGGGAAAACTTCGAACACGCTTTCGAGAAAACGTTCTGCAGGAAGGCGAGCACCACAGAGCTTTGGGAGGCGATGCGAACAAGAACGCAAAGGTCGAAGGAGGATATCTCGACGTATTTTCACGAAAAGTATAAAATGTGTCGTGCGTGACGTAAATCTTGACTTCATCGAGGCCAAAGAGCAGATTCTAACGGGATTAGCAGCCGAAAGCAAAAGTGCATTGCTGACAAAATTCCACGTGGACGCAGACGAGCTTCTACATGACATTCTATCCCTGGAACGGATACATCGTAACGGCAACGACCCCACGAAATCAGCGCATACACGGAAAACCGACGAACCGAAGAAAGAGGTTCATCCGGACGAGACTGCAAGCAGCAAGGGTAAGGCTTCAACAACGACACCAAAACGCTCTCTACGGTGGAACGACAAGGGCGAGCCAAAATGTTACAATTGTAACCTCTATGGACATCTATCCAGAGATTGTAAAACCACACGAACAACGACACAAAAAAGACGCAAACCGCCGCACGGGTACATCTTGTGGAGGACGCGAAGGCCCTAAAATATCTGAAGGACGTGACGGTCGATGACGTCCATTTTCTATCCGGTATGATCGACGGAGGGAGTAGCATCTGCACCATAAGGAAGGAAGTTGTGGAGCGCGAAGGATTAAAACCCGAAAGGGCACAATTACCTCTATACGCATTTGGTAGTACAACGCAACCAGCGGTAGTGTGCAACGCAAAGGTGAACGCGATTCTCCAGGTAGATGGTGTGAAGGCAAACGTAGAACTATGGCTCGTTGAAGAAGGTGTCCAGACCGCGGACGTTATTGTGGGACGTTCATACACTGAACAATCACACGTAGCGTATTATAAAGTAGGTGACAGCCTGGTGTTTGGAAGCCACGACGACGACGTTTTCAAGCAGCTAAACGAGAGAAAAACGCGACGAGTACCACTTACCTACGGTTATGAAGAACTCCGATCTCAAACGCGGAGAAGTTAACGTGATCCAAGTTGACGCAGCGGGAAAAGAGCATTCGGTACCCGTGGTCATTGACGAGAACGTGAAAGTGCGCGCAGGGCAGGTAATAGGATACGTTCGAGGCAACGAAAACGCGAACTACGTGGGGGTGAAAAACGAATCTTTGACTTTGAGTAATATCACGCGAAACGACTTGAATTTACCAAAGGACGTCACCAACGAGCAAGCGACACAAGTGCTGGATTTGGTTAATGAGTTCCGCGATTGTTTCGCTACGTCAATTCGCGAAGTTCGGTGCACGAATTTACTAGAAATGGACATAGAGGACAGCGATCGACCAGTTCGAAGTGCGCCGGTACGTCAAAGTGCGGTTGAACGGGAGATCACTAAGAAAATTGTGCGTGAATGGAAAGACCTTGGTATCGTTACCGAAACGGAGTCTCCATATGCATCACCGGTCCACTTGGTGCAAAAGAAGAGTGGGGAACCAAGACTCGTGGTAGATTACAGAAAATTAAATGCTCAGACCGCAAGACAAAATTTTCCGTTGCCAAACATGGACGAGATGTTTGAGAAAGGAGAAACTGTCGGGCTGCAAAGTGTTTACATCATTGGATCTAATGCGCGGGTATCTTCAGGTGCCACTTACAGAACGCGCCAAGGAAAAAACGGCATTTATTACGAGTGACGAAACAGGACGGTTCGAACGAATGATATTTGGACTTACGAATGCTCCGTTTGTGTTTTCGCGACTTATGCTATTGGATATAATACAAAATCCTACCTACCTTCTTTGTATTCATTCTTAGAAAATCAAGTAGTTGTTAGTTAATGGGGTGCTGCCCATTTCCTGAACTGACTTTGATCCCTTAAAAGTACCGCGTGAGTTATGTAACATCTGGGTTGCCACATTCCGACGTATGTTTAAACGTAAGGGTGTGTTTGTAAATATGCATCACTTTATTGTTGGCATTGGCACTGAGCGTAACTTAATTAAACGGTATTAAGTATACTCTGCATTTTATTATTAATCCAATAGGTTATGCGCCCAGAACGTTTGTAATAATTGTTTTAATCCGTACTACTTTATAGTGAAATCAAAGTTTGTAAAGCTAATAGCGGAACAAAGTGTTGTGTTAAGTGATGGAGGAATCTAGAGTAGTTACGAATCAAACCTTTCAATGGCGAATATTACGCGATTTGGAAATTCCGCATCAAATCGTTGATTGCGGAAGAGGACGCGTTAAAAGTGATAGAGGGTGATCCACCGGAAGTATTACCTCCCCGCTGGAAGCAATTAGAACGAAGAGCGAAAGGTTACATAATCGAATATTTAAGTGATTCAATGCTCGGGTTAGTTACGGAAGGAATTACCGCAAAACAAATCTTGGAGAAATTGGACTCGATATATGAGAGAAAAAGTCTAGTTACACAATTATCAGTGCAGAAGAAATTATTAAGCTTCAAATATAATGAAGAAAAACGATTAATGGATCATTTTCGCGAGTTCGATGAGATGATGGTGGAACTTCACTCAGCTGGAGGCAAATTAGAAGAAATGTCCAAAGTCGCGCATTTACTACTCACCCTTCCACCATGCTACGACCCACTTGTAACCGCCATACAGACATTATCGGAAGAAAATTTAAATCTATCTCTAGTGAAGACAAAGCTGTTGGACTACGAAACTAAATTACAATTAAATAAGTGCGAGACCGGTACAAAAGTTTTACAAGCGGCAAATAAATCACGGCACCGCAACTTCAAGAGCAAACCGCATTTCTTACAAAAACCTCAATCAACTTTTACTTCGCGCAAGGGCTACCACTTTAAAAATAAAAATATGAATTATCGATCCAAACCTTCCAATTGTGAACATTGTGGACGAAGAAACCATATTAAAAAGGAGTGCCATTATTACAGGAGGATGATAAGCCAACAAAAGGACCACACCGCGCAAACAACGCAAATTCTCCGCAGCAAAAGCCCGCCTTTTGCATTTATGCTTCGATCGAAATCCTTTGAAACCAGCGCAGCGACGAACGGTACCATTACATTCATTTTGGATTCGGGAGCAACGGATCACATCGTGAATCAGCTTCACTATTTCACCCATTCGGAAGAGCTATCGACGCCGGTAGAAATATCAGTTGCAAAGGAGGATTCGTCAATTAAAGCCACTCATCGCGGTAGTATCGCAATTACTACCAATATGGGCGAAACCGGGATCCTAAAAGATGTTCTCTTCTCCGCCGAAGTACCGTACAATCTCCTATATATACCTACTTTTTTAACAAAAGTTATAAGAGCTAATAACAATAATATATTTGGTCTTTTATTTTTAACAAAAGTTATAAGAGCTAATAACAATAATTTTTAAATGAAACAAAAATTTGGTCTTTTAGTAAAATAAAATGTTTAGGGAAACTACTTTTCAGATCTTCGGTATTTATCTGTCTTTCCAATAGCCTTTAGAATAGCTTCTTTACTTAAAAGAAATTTATAAAAATCTACACAATTATAATCTTTAAAATTGTACTTTATTTTTATCACTGACGAGACTGTTTCAATATTCAATAAATTCCTTTATTTTGTCCACTGTTGTGCCACTAGTGAAAATACTGTTTCAGCGTTGTCATTATGAGCAGGAATGCAAAACTAGTAGCGTCCCAACGAACGAGCGGACGGACGGCCAAGTGGCCACAATAGCGCATTTTTTTTGTGGAAATGCGTTAAAAAGTAGTGCGCAATTTTCAATAACTCCGAGTACCTATAAATGAGCATTTTCGGTGTTTTAAAAATTGTTACCAAAACTGATTTGCGCTTGAAAGCTTATCTTGTTGGTTTAAATTTTGACAGAAAGATTTTTAATTCACCCACAGTACCTCAAAACCCGGAGTACCATTGAAAACCCGCCCGGACGCACCCTTAGGACAAATCCGGGGAAATCCGGACGGATGGCAACCCTATGTAACCTTTTTATATAACCTCCAGGATATTATTTTCTTTATAGATCTGGTATAATTCTTTGTTTGTTCTTTTTGTCTTTGCAGTCTAGTTTTTGGAATATTTTCCTCTGCTACCTGTGTATGTTCTCCTGCTTTTCATTAAAAAAGTTATCAATATTCATCTCAATCTATTCTTGTTTATTGAAAATGCTATAAATATACAACTAACATGTTTACTACTATCTTATTTCTGACATATTTTGTTCATTTTCAATGCTAGATTTAATTTCTTGCATGAGATAGGGAACCTTTTCAAAGTCTGCTAGACCTTCCCACACTTCAAGCGAAAATGGTATAACGGTATAGTTTTTGGCTTCCAAAGTTTTTATCATTAGAGCAGTAGACGCTTTCAACTTTTTGTTGTTAATCGTGTAATGCGACGGGCCAAGAACGAGTATTAAAACTCTAAAAAACACCATTAACAAGTATTTTATTAACCCACATACTTACATTTGACTGTCGGGTGCAACAGTAATATCTTCTAGATGCTTTGCGTCTTGGGGCAACGAAATGGGATAGCCGCCCTTACGTAGTACCACCACATGATCTATAAATCTAATGTAGTCAAGGGCGTTGACAACCTATAGACTTACCTATGTGATGAGCCAGTTTACTTGTTACCCCAGTTTTAACATACACCTCTCCTCCCAAACCTTTTATTAGTGGAACTTCTAAAGGGTAATTTTCATTATGGTTTATTTGGGCGAATATATTATTGATGATGTTTGTTGAAGGAAGCAAATGTGCATAGTTTGGTTGAAAAGCGTTAATTGCTTGGCATACTAAAATGAAATTTCCAAAATCGAATATGTTTCCTAAAACAAAACCAAAAGGTGTTTAATGTATGCAATATTACAAACAATTAATAGTTCAACCAGCAATAGAAAATAATAACAATAACTTACTTTGTTTAATCATCGACTCCAAATACGAATCACTGAAACATTTATCTAAGACATCAAATTTGTAAACATCCAATGAGCACAGGGCAGCAGCAAGCTTCATCCACAATATATCAGGTTTTTTGTAATCCTGAAAGCATGTCGTTTCTGCTAGTGCGTTTTTCATCGTTTCCCAATGGATCGGTCTAAATTCTGTCAAACTAATTGATATCGCCACCGTAAAAATAGTCATTGGCGGCGCCTTGAGCAATAAGTGTGGATCTTCATGACACTTCTGAGAAAGGTAACTAAGTAACTTTTCGTTGGAGTGATTCTGCAAAAATAAGACGATCATTTGACAAAGTCATCAAGAAGCACATACCGGTTTTAGCATCTTCCTTAAAGTATACAGTGCCTCTTGAAATCCCAAATCCTTATCGATGACATAACTTGCACATGTATCATAAAATACTTCGTCATAATAAAATGGATATTGTGGTGAATATTTGGTTGCAAGCTTTGACAGTGTTGTTTCCAAATCGCGCCAATCAAATGCGTCGATATTAAAGAGCATTGCATTCAGAGCATCTTTCAAAAGAGGTTCGAAGAATTCATTGTCCTCCATATCACATATAGACCATATTATGCTTTTAGCGAGCTTGGGTTCCAATACAGAACCATCTTGACAATGTGTTTTTAAGTTGTTCACAATCAGCGATATACACTTTTCAGAGACCCTTTTCTTTGACACATATTGTAGGTATTCTACCAGATATGTTACATTTCGAGTCTCGATTTTCACTGGGAGATTTACATCAAACACAATTGGTAAAGCAATTAACAGGGCCTCGACCAGAGGCGAACTTTTAAATTGTCTCAGTAGAAAATCCAAAAATATTATGTGATGTAAGGATAAATCATTTATATTATGACGCAGTAACTGCAGCAGTACTTGTACAATCGTACTTGTACTTGAGACGCCAACGTATGAGACCACTTTTAAGGCCTCAATTGTTTCATTTAATTCTATTAGACCAGCTTGACTCTTCAGTTTGTGACAGAGCCTTTCAAAGCTAGGATTTTTCATGATTTGTTGAGTTGATAGATCCTGGCTGCAAAGGAAAAAAAAACTTCATAATTCCTGTACTTATAAATAATTTCACGAAACAATTTTAAACTAGTCAGAGGGCGCTATTGGATGGTATAGTTACAAACAAATTATTTTAATTCTTGAAGATTAACAATAAACAAAAATTCAAAGGAAACCATAACGAACAAAGAATTGTGGCGTTACTAAACTCTTTTACTAGTAAGGCTAATCACCAGACACGATTTATATGCGATCAAAAATTGTCTGTCGAGTCACCTTTGGAATTTTTACTTACATGGAAAATCGTACTTAACTTAAACTTCCAAAGGCGACTCAACCGCTCATTTTTGATCGTCCGATTCATAATAATAATAGCACGAATATTATAACCTTTAGAATTTGAGATAAAGCTAGGCATTATTCCATTTAAATTTATACCACACTATAAGAAAACAAGTGACAAATTGAGATGTAGTAAAATAAAAACTCCTAGATTTGCTAAAGAGCATATCAAACCAGCTACGGTATTGTCTGATTATCTCTACAGCAGTCAGTTCTCCTTAGAGTCTAACAGAGGTTCCTATAAATACTTAAAACATTCTAAATGTTTTTAACGTTCTGTCTGTAGATTCTAGGGCTTCTAACGGTTTTATACAGAAATCTTAAGGAGTCTAATATAAAAATCTATAAATACAATACTCGAACGATTCTATAATAGTTTTTTGAGGTTCTGAAGAAATTAGGACGATTCTGAGAAGATTACCAGCACAGTATAGGAATATTGCAATCTTCTGTTCCTTTGTCAACATACAAACATAAAAAGATTCTAAAATCGTAGGATGATTCAACGACGATTCTATAAAGGTTTGGAAAAGATTCCTAGAAGTGGTCTAGTGGTTGTATGGAAATTCTAAGAAGAGGTTCAGACTGCAAGGAGCCTTTAGGAGTATTTTTTGAGAACATTCAAAGAAAATTGTGCCCCGAGAATTATGAGGATTTCAAAAGTAAGATAATAAAAAAACTGTTCTGAAGACCTTCGAAAGCAATATAAAAACGTTTCAAAGCGTTTTAGGTGCTTTCCTGAACTTCGCCGCCGCTAGAGGGCATCCTTTCAGTGCCTTTCAGACTCTTTATATACTTTTCGTCACAGTCAAAGATTTCTAGTTCCTCTTCAAAGGATACTCTAGCCCTAGATATTTCGGATTTTTCCGAAGGCTTTTTCTAGAGCTTTATTTCCTATAAGAGTAACCCAATGTTTACAAACCGCTATTACAGTATGTCTTTGATACACTCCTATACACGCCATTTGTAAATTATACCAGCGCCGCTAGTGTTAATCTAAATCGCGAATTCCTTTCAGGTAACAGTTCTCAGTCGATATTTTGAATTCCCCAAGATAAGCCACAGACATATATCACATGTCCATGTGATAATCTTGTAAAATTTATATTGGTGCCAATATTTGTTTAAATAATAAGAAAGTTAACAATAGTTGGAACACACTGTATATAACTGCAATTGAGCAACATAGGTAAGTAGGTACATACTGTATACCTACTGGCAAAATTTGAGTATCTTTTGTTTATCAACATTTAAAAATACAATTTACCTTCCCTGTTTCTGCAACAAATAGATCGACCTCAAAGCTTGCATCACTTGCTTGCTGTTCATAATATTATAATGATCCTTAACTATTTCCAACACATTCTGCGAACTTCTAGCGTTCCTTAAATTTTGTATTAGATAATCAGGAGCAGATGATGCAACGGTAACGGGGGCTTTGGAAAATTCTAAAAATAAGCGCATAATAGGAAATCCTATTGTTTAATTATCTACCTTTGTTTATTTTCGAATAAAGTCGGCAATCGGTGTGAATACGTCTTAACCTAGTTAATTGGGCGATTAAATCGAAAGCTTTCATGGTGATGGCCTGAAAAGAAATGATTAATTATCGTTTTCTAATTTTGCCAATTAAATTTAAATTTCGCGCCAAGAATGTGATTGGGGAACGTGAATTGCATTTTCGTGGCAGCGCTCTGGTTGGTTATCCAAATGTCAGTGTGGCATTTTAATGAAAACAAAAGATGTCTATTCATGACTGGCGCAAAAATTGACATAAAAATAGCGAGTTCTGCGTGAATTGTTTATTGTTCGCGTTTAATGCACGGTGTGAACTTGTCGATTTGATAATTAGGACTTCAAACGTTTAAGTGCAATTGTTTTCTTACCTGTATAATGGATCAGGACGATCCAAAAGAACGTTTTCAGCTATTAGGGTTTCGACCCCAAAAAGAAACTGCTTACAACAAATTATTACCTTACGTTGACGAACTGGATGAAGAATCGAACAAATTATTTACAGACATAAAAACTAACCTCGTCAAGTCAGTTTTGGCACGTGAAATGCGTCCAGGATGTATGGTTTGGACTTCCAGGTTAAATAAGTAAGTACCTTCACTACAATGTTTCGAAAGACATTCAAATTACGACTCGAATAAGGGTATTTCGCAATTTTCCAACCCTTCGCTTTTGACTTTTCAAGTTAACACGCCATTTGCGTGACGTCATAACTCAGCTGTTTTTGAATATTTCCCGCTGTACATAATTTGTTCTTGTTTTAGGTATATCAAAATATACGGGCTAAAATTTTCGAAAGAGGACCATGTAGCCTTAGTGAAATTGTATTATGAACTAGTGACCATTCCAGGTTTAGAACCGACTAGAATTAATAAATTTGCTTCTACGTTAACGTTTTTATTAAAGTAAGTATTTCTCTTTTTTTTATTTGGAGAGTTTTTTTTAATTGCTAGTTATTCAAACTTTCTCATAAGTTTTCATTTCGTGTGTTTAAGATAACTGAAATAATTGCACTTGCCCTTGCAAATTTGAATGCTATCCAAGCATGCGCTACTAAATGATCAACTAATAAAACAACGAGATTTGTCCTGCCATATAGTTACAATTTAGTATGATTGTATGTTCACAGATCATTACTTTTGTTTGTTCATTAACAAAAAGAAACCTGTTCCTGCAACTGCAAGGAGTGAACATTTCTACTCTATCCCATTTTTTACAAAGTATTAATCAGCATTAATGTGAGTAGGGCTCTAAATGGACCGGAAGGCCATTCCGGTCGGTTAAAAATATTACAGTATTGTTCCATTTCGTGGACAATTTTTATACACCACTCCCTTTTGTGGAGCGACCACACAATCGGATCCTCTCCACTCGCACACAAAGAAATTTCACAGAATCCTATACCGAGTGGTCCACAGTAAGTATGAACATAGGGATTTAACATGGGAAATTAGTTTTATGCAATATGCTGCCCTCCTGTACTAAAGTTGTTCAGAATTAAAAGGTGCATACAAAATTGGTAGGTATACTCGCAAATTTAAAAATAAATTTCAACATTTCTGTTATTAGTAGCAATAGCCATGACTTTTGTTGTTTTATGAATTGCTACTAATAACAGAAATGTTGAAATTTATTTTTGAAGTTACGGGTATACTAAAAGCTTAATAAAACATGTAAAAACAGTGTTGTATGCACCTTTTAATTCTGAACAACTTTAAACTCCACAGTTTTTTCTGTAAAATGTACAGGAGGGCAGGATATTGCATAAAACAAATTTCCCATGTTAAATCCATATGTTCCTACTTACCGTGCACCACCCTGGTATATTTTTAATGCAGTAAAAATCACATCTGGAAACGATTAATTAATATGTCCTCGAGATCGTACCAGCACAGGGAACCCAGCAGTATCCACTTGTGTCTCTACACAAAGGAAAACAATAAAAATGAAACATTTAACAGGCATGTCAAACACGCGGCCCGCCGTTCTAAAGTCTGCGGCCCGTCAGGATGATAAGATGAGGACAAATTATAAAATTCAATTATACTATGTGTCCTATTATGCAGTGTATCTCAACTGTATAGAGAGATAGAAACTTGCGGTTTTCGCGACCTTGTATCACTTTTTTGTGAAACTTCACAAACAGACTCAATCTAGCTACGTTTGGTTCTGAGATACAGGGTGAAAACGAAAAGTTTGGGATGTTATATACAGTGAGTTTTTTTTAATGCGAACATAGGAGTTTGCATGCAATCTAATTTCCCTATGTTCGATTTTTTAAAAAACACATCAATCTATGAGGTGTGCGCGGTTCACATTCCCAAATCGCGCAACTTGTGTGACTATGACCAGCAACTCATAGTCTTTATGATGAAGAGCACTCGGTAAGATCGTTTTAAAGAAGCCATGTGAGGCCATAGCAACTTTAGGATAAATTTTTCTTAAACTGACAATAACTTGACTTCACATGGCACGCGCTGTTATCACAATTCATTATGAACCAACCTTCAATTATTTGTAGGTCATGTGCACCTGGTATTCTATTAATTTGAATTATTCAATACATAAATGAAGAAAGTAAGAAAATAAATAAGGAAAACAATTAGAATAAATGTTCGAAGTGTCCTCCTTGACATTCTAAGCAATAACCTAACCGATTTCGTAATTAAATTGGACGGCGATATTTTTAAAAATGTGACAGCTGTCAATTGTATCTACACAGATAAACGGAGCTTTACAGATAGCTCGTGCAATGTTAATATGAAGATTTTAGAGAGTTGCCAGTGCAGTAAATTTCATGCTATTTTTGTTATCACAGGAGTGGGGAAGTGAAGAAATACACATCTTGCGCACACAGTAGGGATTATTTATTAGGACGAGGCCTTCCCCAGCGTAAAAAAAGTGTGATATCAAAGTCGCACGAAACGAACGTGTATTCTCAGCTGTTTTACAAAGACTATTTTTAGCTCAAGCGCTTATCTTTAACTACAAGTAGCCTATTCTACTAAAGTAAAAAAACACTCTTTTGTTTGATCAAATCTACTCTTAGGGCCGGTATATAAACGTCAGTTGACTGGAGATTGAGTTGAAACTGAGATTAATGCGATTTTTGTGTTTTATAAAGGTCGCGCGAGCTTCCAACGACGGTAGGGCCCTTGTCGCATCCACAAATAAAGCGCCTCGTCGCGGCAATCCCATAAATAAACTACCTTTTATTGATTTTAAAACACAAAATTCGCGTCAATCTCAGGTTGAACTCAATCTCCAGTCAACTGACGTTTATAATACCGGCCCTTAATGGCATAAATCCAAAGGAATTTTGTTTGCCTAAAAATCCCATGTGTACAAATTACTAACCTACATATTGAACGATCGCGCGTTCTTTTTAAACTTACCATATCATATCATAATTGCGATCCACAAATAAAGAATTATTTCCAGAAAATAGAAATTTTATTCAAGTAGGTATTATTACATTTTAACAGTTAAAATCTAAAGTATTTGGCACAATAACTTAAAATAAAGATTCGCAGTGAGAAGAGAAATAAATATAAACTAATTATATATTAAAATGAAAAATAGAATAGGTACATAATTATTTACCTGTAAAAATGTAATGGCAATTATGACGCAATACAAATCAAGACCTTGCTAAAAATCAAACGTGTTTTTATTGATTTTACAAAATTTGAACAATCGACATTAAAAGTTAAAAATTATTTATTTTGTAAAATTTTTAATTTCGGATTTGGTAGTTGCCTTAGAAGATTGTGTTTCATTTGACCACTTACACTCTTTATACAGTTTTGTATTTAACAAAAGATCCAGAAAATACGTCTGATGAACGTCATTATTACAAATGTTTTCTAAATTTATTTTTGTAAGTATATTTTTCATCATTTTCTCCTTAATATTATTAATTGATTTATCTTTATCAAAAATTTTGTGAAAGCAACGGAATGCTTTTTTCACCAAGATAATTATATTTTTACTTGGAGTTCGCAAACCCACGGACGAGGGTTGAACATTAGTATATAATTTATTTAAAATAAATAATTCTCTTGTTGAATCTAGAGTACCTCTTTTTGTAACAATTTTAAGTGTACATTCTTCACAACTGAATTTAGAAATTAACTTGCTACAAATGTAACCTGCAAAATAGGTGACAGCACAATCTTCTGCTTCATTTTCTGTATATGACGATGATGAAGTACTGGAAGAAGAATATCTGTCAACTTCAGACGACGTTGTAGGGTTAGCATAATTTATATGAATCTTTTGTTCTTCGTCCTCTGCAGGTAAAGGTGTTATATCGATGAACTCGTCTTCATCTTCTTCACAGTTAGCGGAACCTGGGGGCTTCATCAAATTATTTATAACGTTGATTCTAAAGGTTGTTCTAAACGTCCTTGCTGTAGGGTTTTTGTTGCAACCTCCTCGTGACCGAACAATGGAAAAATAATTTTCCAAAACATCTTGATTTAATCGAGATGTTAAAAGAAATGATTTTGTTTCACGAACGTCTTCGTTTAGCTGTTCTAATGCGTTGATCGACAGGAGTATTCCATCAAAACAAGGTGGCCGTGATGTTTTCCCTTTCCAGTCAATTTTATTAATATTTTGGAAAAATTTTTTTGCTTCCGAAATAACAATTTTTTGCTCGCCCTTTAGCGTTGAGTAAGAGCATTTATATGGATTTTGGTTAAATTGCGATCGACTGTTAAAAATGTCGAATAACTTATCCATCAAGCTAACAAAATTTGAAGTGTTGAGTGCACTAGCGGTTTTTATTTTCCCTAATGTTATATATGTCTTGATTGCTGCAGATACGGTATGGCTAAGAATTTGCAGCGCGTATTTACAAGACATTCTCTGAAAAGAGTTAGGATTGATGTGCACATCACTTAGCTTTGTTAATAATCTGCTTAACTTATTTTGTTTTTCTAAATTGTAAACAGTTACGATATCGTCAAACTTCACATTAAATATGGTGTCGTCATCAGGAAATTGATATTGGAAATACCCATTCAACAAATTGTTGCGAACACTTTTGAATAAATGAGGTGGGTCGTAGAAAACAAAAATTTTATCACTTTCTATGGTAAAAAATGGTTATCAATTGTTGCTCCCAAACCTTTAATGGCGGAGACATTTGTTGTCCCTTGATCACAAATTACAGCTTTTACTGTAATTCCGCACTTTTTTAAGCTGCTGATAGCGGTAGTAATAATCGAAATTAAGTTCCCTTTGGAAATACCGGTGTGGACAAGAAAATAACCGATCTGTAATTTCCATTTTCTGAATAACCCTCTAACCATTAATACAAGAGCCTTTTTAGCCTTTCTATCTTTTCTGCCCAAATAACCAAGATACGGTGCCTCCTAGTATATTTAGTGAGCTGATTAATATCAAAGCTAATGTCAGTGAGGAAGACGTTATCGCTGCCATAAAAAAACTAAAAAATAAACCCACTGCAGGAACTGACCAAATTCCAGCGTACCTAATTAAAGACTGTGCCCGCATATTTTCGATACCATTGTCAATGTTATTTAATTTATCACTTAAAAACTGCGTTTTTCCATCAGTATGGAAAACTGCAAGGATCTCTCCCGTACTAAAATCTGGATCTCAATCGGATGTGGAAAACTACAGACCCATATCTATACTCTGCAATTTTTCCAAAGTATATGAGATAATGCTTCATGAAAAGCTGGCTTTTCAATTTAAAGCACATTTGTCGGAGCATCAACATGGATTTTCATCGAAGCGATCGACTATAACAAATCTGGCCTGCTTTACGGAGTACTGTCTGGAAACTTTAGACGAACAAGGCCAAATTGACACTATATACACTGATTTTCGTAAAGCCTTCGATCAAATTGACCATAACATTATACTTGGCAAG